ATTTACCTGGTACTGTACACTTCGCGAGGCCTATTACTCAATTCTTGAAGTGTGGCAGATCTAAACACGGAACGAAGCAAAGACAAATGGCGACCACCAGCGCAAATCTAATGGCGATGGTTAGCAGTTTGATCAACTGGCGCGTGACACGATGGGAGTTAGGGAGGGGGCAGAAAGTGCGAATTGTCCGGCAGAAATGAGTTCGTGGTCGATAATCAGCGCTCGTGCAACACGTTAAAGTGGCATTATACCACTCTTATCGGGCCGACATGACGTACGGGACTGCGTCCTGAAAGAGTTAATGGTGGCAGAACTGCGTGGGGCGAGAGAGAACGCGAGCGTCGTGAATCCTTTCGTATCGTAGCACGGTGTCGATGGCGTGTTCGATGCTATCGCCACCCATGATCCCCCATCCCAGTTTGTTATTTATTACCGAAATCCGGCTGTTTTTTCGTTAATCGATCGCGGCAGAATTTTGTGTGTTACACGAAAGATAGCAAGTGCCGGGTTTTTCGATTCTATAACCAATCGCCGGGACGATACAACCGTGGCTCCCAGAATATTTCAGTCCCCAGAATATTTGGAATTCCTCGGAGTATTTAGGATTTCTCAGAATACTTGGAATTCCCTGGAGTATTTGGGATTCCTCAGAGTATTTAGAATTCCCCAGAATATTTGGGGTTTCCCAGAGTATTTGGAATTCCTCAGAATAATTGAGGTTTTTGAGTGTATTTGGAATTCCTCAGAATAATTGGGGTTTCCCAGAGTATTTGGAATACCTCAGAATAATTAAGGTTTCCCAGAATATTTGGAATTCCTCGGAGTATTTAGGATTTCTCAGAATACTTGAAATTCCCTGGAGTATTTGGGATTCCTCCGAGTATTTAGAATTCCCCAGAATATTTGGGGTTTCCCAGAGTATTTGGAATTCCTCAGAATAATTGGGGTTTCCCAGAGTATTTGGAATTTCTCAGAATAATTAGGGTTTCCCAAAATATTTGGATTCCTCGGAGTATTTATGATTTCTCAGAATACTTGGAATTCTCTGTGGTATTTGGGATTCCTCAGAGTATTTAGAATTCCCCAGAATATTTGGGATTCTCCAGTGTATTTATAATTCCTCAGAATAATAGGGGTTTCCAAGAGTATTTGGAATTTCTCAGAATAATTAGGGTTTCCCAAAATATTTGGATTCCTCGGAGTATTTATGATTTCTCAGAATACTTGGAATTCTCTGTGGTATTTGGGATTCCTCAGAGTATTTAGAATTCCCCAGAATATTTGGGATTCTCCAGTGTATTTATAATTCCTCAGAATAATAGGGGTTGCCCAGAGTATTTCGAATTCCTGAGAATGATTGGGGAATCCCAGAGTATTTGGAATACCTCAGAATAATTAAGGTTTCCCAGAATATTTGGAATTCCTCGGAGTATTTAGGATTTCTCAGAATACTTGGAATTCCCTGGAGTATTTGGGATTCCTCAGAGTATTTAGAATTCCCCAGAATATTTGGGGTTTCCCAGAGTATTTGGAATTTCTCAGAATAATTAGGGTTTCCCAAAATATTTGGATTCTTCGGAGTATTTATGATTTCTCAGAATACTTGGAATTCTCTGTGGTATTTGGGATTCCTCAGAGTATTTAGAATTCCCCAGAATATTTGGGATTCTCCAGTGTATTTATAATTCCTCAGAATAATAGGGGTTTCCCAGAGTATTTCGAATTCCTGAGAATGATTGGGGAGTCCCAGAGTATTTGAAATACCTCAGAATAATTAAGGTTTCCCAGAATATTTGGGATTCCCCAGTGTATTTATAATTCCTCAAAATAATAGGGGTTTCCGAGTATTTGGAATTTCTCCGAATGATTGGGATTTCCCAGAGTATTTGGAATTCCCCAGAATAATTGGGGTATCCCAGAATATTTGGAATGTCTCGGAGTATTTAGGATTTCTCAGAATACTTGGAATTCCCTGAAATATTTGGGATTCCCCAATCCCGAGAATATTCGAGGATTAAAAATGTTCGTTTCAGCCTCCACTACTTCGACGCTATAGCTCGGTTCAATTTCGTGGAACATTTTATATCTATGATACTTTTCGAGCTCAGGTTATGATATTTTTGTCGCCGGGATGCAGGAATTGATGGAAAAGAGGTCGTCAGATATTACGGGACAGAAATAGAAATTTTGCGTTCTATTCAGTCATGAAAAATATATGTACTCTTCGAGTATCGGACTTCGCGCAATATCGAAATATGAAAGGAAACGCGAGAGCCATTATTGCCTCGCCGGTGGAGGTCGATGGGAAAGTAGCATTCGAATTTCTCGCGGAAGAAAAATTACAACGCCCTCGATAAAGGCTTCGGGTTGGATCTATGGAGCATAAGGGACGAATTCTGGAGTGCTATAACCACTTACATTCCCAAGGATAAGGACTGCTAGGGTGATCTCAATACTCGTTGCTGCTACGTAGCACTTATGTTCTTTCTCAAACGGCGTGGAACATACTAGGGCATTTCCTCTGACTGCAGAAGTACGACAGTACTTGTTAAAGAGAAAAGAACGCTTGAACGTTGAAATCCAAGCTTTGTACTTTTGAATTTATCTTTATTACACAAGGGAGGGGGTACTTTTTGGCACTTGGAGCTCCAAATGTTACTTCACCGACAATTTTACCAAAATCATAGTCAAAACCAGAGTCAGGTTTGCCAAAGAGGTCAACTACGAGGTCGAATCAATTTTTGATGGCTAAATGCTCCATCGATCATTCCTCGGTTGTCTTGGCTGAGTAATTTTTGTTTTTTTTAAATTTACTTGCCCCGCACACGCATTCTTACAATCTCTCTAAGTGCTCGAAAGTCCATCCCGCTTCTTAGAACTCATTGCGGTAATTAAAAAACTTTCAACAAAATGTACAAAAGCACAGAGAGAAAAAAGGAAAGCAAAGCGGGAGAATAAAGCAACGTGACCCTTTCAAAGAAAATAACGCTTTAAAAAAAATGCAAGAAACTAATGAATATTAAATAAAGGTGAAAAGACTGGAAATACAGTAAGAATAAGAATAAGTAAACGTAAAACAGGGGAATTTAAAAATGTGCCTTCGTTAAATAAACATAGACGGAACGACGTACGAAGAAAAAATGTATGAGAGCTCGTTTCCACAGCTTCTCAAAAAGAATGATCGTTCCGTAGATCGCTTGTTCGCGACCTGACTTGGAAAATTCCACTTGGGATATATTTTCTACTGGTATGGCTAGTATATGGAAAATACTATTCAGACATTCCATAGTCTCTGCTCTTTTTCTTTAAATGAAGATCATCCTGCTTAAAATTATTTTTCATTAGGTTTTCAAATGTATAATATTTTTTGGGTCACTCATTTGTCAGTACTTTAACATGTGAATATTTTTATTTTAATTTATGAATGGATAAGACCATCTCAAAAGACCATTTATATACCAGCCATGTATTTTCTCTTGCCGAATAATTTCAGAAGAAATTTGCGTGCGGTTTAAAATGTATCGCGATGAACGGGATCGCAGTATCTTTCCAACGATTTCTCATCGCGGAAATTATAATCTCGGCGTGACTCTATTCCATGCCCATTTTTATCGTAATAATCGGCAAAACCATGAAATACTCTTCTCTTGATCTTGGAATAAAAATTCTGACGTTTTCATGTTTCATTCTCAGTTGATTTATCTTTCGAGTGGAAGGATATTATGAAAAATGTATATTATGAAGCCTGGCGAGGAGCATAATGTATTGTTCCACGGTGAGATAAAAATGTTTAATGTCAACGTGATTTTATTTCACTGTGTATTGTAACGAGCGAAAAAGCATTGCTCTATTTTTCATTCGAAAATAAAATTTGTCGTTTCGGTTCCTTCCTGATATGCCGATAAATTTTATTGGATTTCAGATACACCGAATAACAGTGTGATATTCCTTCGATAAATTTGATTTTATCGTTTACGCGTGTGTGTAAAATATATGTCTCGGTACGGTTCAGTATGTTATAACACACACAATACACTATTTTGAACATAATAAAACGGAAATCACGCTTCCAATTCAAATTCATCGTACTATACATATTACAATACAAGCGCAAATTTTAATCAGTTTATACACTCATTAACACATATATACAAATATTAATTACACTAGTTAAAATATATAAGCGTTAAATCAATACTTTTCGTAACAAATGTGTCCCCTTATAACCGATAACAGTTTTTCAAAATTTTGAATAATTGGTATAATTTTGTTTGCTGGAATTATTGTCAATAGTAATCGTTTTACGTAAATAGGTTTTTAATTATTCATCTGACGGTTATTCGAGCTGAAATAACATAAAGAGAGGCGTGGTTGATTTAGTTGCAAGTATCCGAATTGGGGCATCAATAGACATACAGCCCTGTATCATGGGAACCAACAGACCGACCATCTTGAAATTTGGCACACACATAAAATAGATGTCCCTCTATCGCCGGAATAAAAAGAAACCAAATATCTGCAGAAGTTTTTTCCCCATAGCTCATAGAAGACACAATTTCTATTAAAAAATCGAATTCCAACTTTAACATGCTGTCATGTCTTCAATTTTCGAAATTTATTAAGTTCTCTTAATTCACGCGATAGTCGCATTTATTCTGACTCAGAATCTCCCTATTTTTTCTAGTTAACGTGACCAGGACGGAAGTTATCGTGCCAAACGTGGTCATTAGTATTTTCGTACACCCCGCGTGCAACCTTGTCCCACATGAACAAAATCGATGATTCGTACTTGACAAAATTCCAATCGTTCGTCGAAACGGAAACACGCACGTGCACGAAGTTTGAAGTTCGTGCGTCGAACGGTCTCTTCGTAAAAAATTCTCGAACGTCCCCCAATTTTTTGAGGGTCTTCGAACAAGACGTACCCTTTAAAAAACGCGACGAGCTTTCACGCGAACACGGCTGATAAACATTCACCGTTCCTCTTCTTTCTGTTGCAGCTCTATCGGCACTCGTACCTGGCCCACTACAAGATCGTGAACCTGACAACCTTGTAAGTAAACGAGCCGCGCACAGCCTCGGGCCATTTAAGATAATCGTATCTCAAACTTATTCCGCGGCTGAGTTTAGATTTGCATTTTAATCTTCGCGCTACCGGCGGCTGGCGGCTTGCAAATTACGGCCAGCCCGCGAATTTCAGGCCTTCTTAAACGCGAACGGAGGGGTCCCGAGGTTTCCGCCATCGGCGAACTTCGCCCTCACGGCATTCTGGACGTTAATTCGCCGTTTAAGAGTGCTTATATCACGATTAGCCTGGCCCCGCTGCTCGACCAGGATTCCTTTCCACCCTCTTCGCCACTGGTTTAACCCCCTTTCCCAATTTTCTCCTCGCCCCGAAGGACCAAACTTTGCCAGAGATCCGCTTTCTATTATTTAAATCTAAGATGCTCCATTTTTAAATCCACCCTCTCGAATACCTTCGAAACCGTCGACGATACAAAAAGCTTTCCCTAAGTGTACGCGAAGCAAAAATTTTTTGTCTCGTCCAAACCCGCGAAATAAATGAAATTACATTCGTATCGTAAACAGCAAGCGAAGAGAGAGTCTATATAGCAGCGAATGATTACCATATCCTTGGAAGAGGATACCGGTGCGCGTGGCGAATTCTTCCGGTCGGAAGTCGAGGAGAATTTACGGAAGCTTTATATAAAGTTTCGAGGCGGAGGGGGAACGGTGTCTTTTTTTGGAAAAAAAAAAATGGAACAACCAATATTGTTCGAAGAGTTCGAAAATAGTTTCCGGGAGAGGGGGGGAGGGGGGGACTTGTTCGCTCTTTACGAGAGTATTTTAAACTTCAGCCCTTCAACTTGGAGTTATACGATGACGGTGGATGAAAGCCGTCTTTCAAACTCGGAGAGAATACCGCGCTCGCAGGGAAACGCCGCCCGGCGCGGGAACGCGTGATGCTCCCTGAGTTATTCTTTAATGACTTCCGGGGAATATTTAAATTTGTCACGGCGCCGTGAACACGAGAGACTTCAATTATTTGAGCGTACAGAGTCTCTAAATACAGTCCCGGCTAACTACGTAATCATAACTTTGGGTTCTTTGGAGAGACATAGTTTCTGAATATAGTCCTCGCCCGCTTTTTGGCCATAACTCCCCCCCCGGCTAACTGCAGACATCATTACGGCCACGACTGCCACGGATACAGCCGGAAACCGGTCTCTAATTTATTACTTTATCGTTGCCCTGCAATATTTACGCTGATGCGTTCAAAAAAATACCCGGTTCGTTCAAAGACCCCACTGAGAAACGTAACTTTTTTAAAGGATATTTACACGTGAAATATATTTTCAAAGTCGGTCCACTGTCAGATTCTGGTCGAACCCCGTTAACTTTGCTCTCAGTGCCAAAGAAACTACGCCTCCTTATACAAATCAGTATTATTTATATTACTTCTCGTGCTCGAAAGTTTGCTGGCCCCTTCTTAAACCGGCGCGGTCGACGCTAAGAAAAATGTTACGTGGCCAGCATTTTTTCACAACTTTTCTGCCCCTCGACGACCCGGGGAGCTTTAGAGCCGTGAAAGCTTCCTCCGTGCGCGGTCTGAAAAAAAAAACTTGCGAGAACATTTTCGTCCGGGGAGAGAAGCTGAGAACGATTCGTTACCCTGCTAGATTCTTTATCATATACTCCTGTGGGCGCAACAAACGATCCCAATTAGCGATCGGGAACAAAGAAGAGAGGGACCGTCTTCGTTGCTTTGACGTCGGGCGCAATTGCAGCGAAATTGCTGCCGCGAAAGTGGCCAGAATTACAGGGTAGAAAGAATGTCAAGCTTCAGAATTATCGAGTTGTAATTGCGAGGCCAGCTCTCGCCGCGTTGCTGGTTAAAGAATGGTGTCAGCTCATTTGCGGCAGACCTTTTTCAACATATCAGGTCATTTCACAATACTTTGTGTGTTCTCCACTGCTCCCACGGTACCTAGAATTATTCCAGACTTAACGTACACCTAACACTGCCACTGGTCGAGTCGTAATATGCACCTGGAGCTGTAGTTCCCAACTTAACCTACACTTGCTGACCTAAAAGTAACCCAGACCTACGGTATACGTAACGCTACAGTTGTCCCAGGTCTATCTGGACCTACTCTTTAAGTTATTTTGGACCTATCAACACTTCATATGTGCCTAACTGTTTCAGATCTAATACACACCTGCTGCTATAGTAGCTCTAGATCTATTCTAGAGTTTCTAATATAGTTGTTCCAGTCCTATTCTAGAGTAGTGTTATAGTTGTCTCAGTTCTATTCTAGAGCTAGATTACAAACACCCCATACCTACTTCTCTAATTAATCAAGACCTACCTCATACTTTACATAAACAGAATTGTTTCAAACTTATCTTACCTATTCTATCTGGTAGTATAATCACAATCGCGTCTATTAAAAACCTATTATTCAAAAATGTCGCAAATGGTACAGTCCACGTACGAACATCGTACATTTAAGAATGTTTCCTTTCTGGAGTGATTTATGAGTCCGTTGGTTGTTCGAAGGATCACTTTGTTTGCAGGGTGACGTTAAAATAAACAAAATGGCGCTGAGAATTACTCGCGACGAATAACGGAGTCGTGAAATTACCTGATAAGTTAAGAACAAAAACTCGTGGGCAGGGCAACGCGCATGAATGACTCCGAAAACGTGACTGGCACGGCGAATGAAGTGGCGCGCAAAGAACCGTGGCGGTCCGAAGGGGGAGGGGGTGAAATGTTACCATTTCTGCTGGTGACATTTTTCTTGACCCTCGGAGACGCGCGGACTGCTAACAACGAAGGAAATTTTCGACAACGCGTCGAAAATGAAATTCGCGTCGGGAATGTTTGATGGAAATTAGAAAATAAACTTGGAGACGACGGGAATGGCTTCGCCGATAATATCGAGGCAATTTTCTGGACGGTTTAATTAATTTCGCGCGATAAGGTATATGTATGATGTTTTAATTATTTCGTAATTAGGATTAATGTTTTCAGAGTCGTGCAACATCTTGTATCAAAGTCGCGGTAACTTTTAAGGATTTCGAGTATTTGTTTTGCGAGACGTTACAATGGAATCGGAATTAATTTTACGGTATAATGGCGCATTGGCTTTTTCCTGGAGCTAAATTTATCGACTCCAGTTTTACGAAAGTTGATTCATTTCTCTTTAATTCTACTAAACAATACTGGGCGTAGTTAGTCTCTTCTATATTTGATTACGCGGAGTAAATCAGTTTGGTTCCCCGAGGCACGTATTCTATCGGCGTTAATGCGATATTCCTATCAAATTTTCGGGAAGCCAGTCAATTGCGTTTACCTCGGAGAAGCCAAAATGTTTCGAATGTTTCGCGAAAGGCAATCTGAGTTAATCCAGGGAACCTGGAAATGAAACACAAATGCAAAATAAACCACGAGCAGCAATGTACCAAGTAAACCCGTGAAATTCAATTAAAATATTCTGCATAGAGGCAGATTTACCTAATCCTTATTTAATGTAGTTGAATTTTGCCTGAAACAATGCGACCGATTATTATTTAAACATTATCCGCCATAATTTCTTTGTCGACACCACGATTAACTTCTTGAACTATAGTAACTATTCGTATAATTGGCTTGCAGTGGTACAGCAATTTCATAAAGCACGGTTATTACCAAATAATAACCAAACACGGAACGTATCTTAATTTGTTGGAAATTGACTGCCCAAACAAATTTTAACTTCGGAATTATTAAAGACGGCGTACAGGATAATTCAAATATAAGCAATTGCAAGGATAGAAGAATTATGACTTTTCCCTAATTTCACGTGGATTGCAAACGTATTCTAATATAAAAATTCCGGACTCGAGATACAAAAGTGATCGATTTGGCGTGAAATGGGTCGAACGTAGTTGCTCGCTCGACGTCGAACCGCAGCGATTATTTGTCATTCGCGATTAACGGAACCGATCGAGTCGTTTGTTGCTCGTCAGGATCTACCGGGATCCAAACGCATCGCGAGCTTTTCCAAGCTCGACCGAAAAATTCCATTAGATTCGCCGTGACTGAAAAGAATTCGTCCGCTTCTGGCTGCCCTGTTTGTTCAATCACGGTCCCAGCCCCGAGCTCGGATCAAGTTATTTAAACGAATTTGATTACGACCGATACTTTTCGCGCACGCATGGAATTCTATCAATTTTTATTCCGCACGTTCGAGTCGGTCGTTCTTTTTTTTTTTTTCGAATTCCCGTTTCTGGACGGTCGGGAATTTCAGGCTGAAAAGTCCTCCGGCGCTGCAGAATAACGCTGCGGCGGCTAGATATACGAGATTCTGCACCGGAAGAGGCGCTTTGGGATTAAAATCTTCGCTGACATTAATACTGTTATCTCCGTAGAAGAAAAAAAAATGAATCTGTTGGAGAAATTTCGCCGGTTTGGAAGCGAGAACCGCTCTCGTCGCAGAGATTCTGGAACGAGCGGTGTCTTTCGCAGCCTCCTTATCGGAAAACATGATCGTCTTGTTCGCTGTGCGGATGGGGTTCTCAGCAATTACTTATTTCAATTGTTAGACGAGATGATGGTAGGTCAACCTTTACCCCGAGTCGAACTCTAACGATAGTTCTTTTCTTAAATTGGAACTCTTTCTTTGTACGAGGTCCAGACATTGTGGCGACAGATTCTAGAGTGAATTGAACGCCCCAGAATCGTCCAATTAAGGTTAAAAGTGCGTGTCGGGTTTATTTGCACGGGAGCTTCGAGGTCTAGATTTAAAAAATAACATGACTTTTACGTTTTATATTTGTCCGTTCGTGTTCAACGCACGATAGAATGAAAGGTATTAAGGGGCCTAGTTTTGGGACATCTGTTGCAGGTTCGGTGACACTGATTTGTTTCATGATATTCCCTTTAGCATTACACGAAATCACTACGCATTAATTTCTGCCTAAAACGTGTGCTATTTCGCCGGCTAAAGAGGACAAGTTGTTAACATTTAATGACGCGACACGGAATTTAATAATCCACTATGGATTTCAATATCATATGAAATTTGACACCACGCCATGAAATATGATATCGCGGCATGTAATTTGATACCAGTGCGTGAAATTTGATTCCATTTCATACTCTAGAATGTAACTTGACACTGCACGAAGTAATATGATAGCCAACTATGAAATTTGATACTCTATAGCATGTAACTTGACACCGCGCGAAGTAATATGATATCTAGAGCGTGTAACTTGACACCACACGAAGTAATATGATAGCTAAATATGAAATTTGATACTCTATAGCATGTAACTTGACACCACACGATGTAATGTGATACGTGGACTTAAAAATCGACACCTCGATGTACAGTTTGACGCTGCTTCGTAGATTCAGATACGATAACTTAAAGATTCGTTTCCTCTCATCGAGTGATTTGTTTATACATGTTTAAACAGTCGAATCGTTTCAACAGCTTTCTCCGGATCCCGCGGTCGGAATTGTCTTGCCTGGGACACGTGTCGTCTTATCAATTATGGGGGGTATAAATCGCACCGCTTTAGAGTCTCTTCGCAGCTGGAATCTAGGATCGATACGGGCGATTCAGCCAGTCGAACGTGTGCCCGTGCACTTTGTAGTGAAACGGACGAGTCCCGACCATAAACCCGGTTTGTACGCTACATGAATACCCGAGTCTTTATTTATGGGTTTTCGCGAAGAAGTTCCCTTTGAGTGGAGGAGCTGGCCGGAGGAGGTCTGGCATCACGACAGCCGGAGTCGCGGAACTTTCCATCGATTTTTCTTCGCCGTGGTTGGCATGGTACATTTTATAAATTCTATAAAATCCCCTCGGTCGCGCGATACTCGCCGCTCCTTTTATCCCCCCACATTTCCTCTTCCCGTGATCCTCCTTTTTAGTGGGACTTTTTCCTTTTCTGTTGATACAGGTTAAGGCTCGTTACGAGGAATTCCGGTGCAGACGGTACACCAAGATCGTTAGAAAATTATTTTTCCTTCGCATCCAGGGCTACGTGACCAGCACAACTTGTCCGATCAATGATCGGCATTAATCGACGCTATTTTTGCGATTGCTTTTCGGATTTTTATTCGACATTAAACGCAGGGCAACGGAGAATAGCGTTTCGTTATGAAAATGTTGCTACGACGGCGTTACCCTTTCTTTGTTATTGTCCATGGACTATAAAGGATTACCGGCTTACTACGTCTGCAGGGTATTGATCACCTGTCGATATTTTCATTAGTTTAGCTTCGGCAGCTCTTCAGGTACAGTTTTTACGAGTACCTCGCACGAGGCGAACTATAGTTCGGTCAATTGGGTAAATTGCCCAAACTTGACTCAACTTCGACGCTCTAACGATTAATACTAATTCGAAATCTATCGCAAACCTGATGCCGTAACACCCATTGTAGTAATACCCTAATCTCTAATAACACAACATACCTAATCTACATCATGTACTTATCCCTGACGAGATGTAGTAACCCAGACCTAGCACCAATAACATCAATAATCCGCTGCCCTAACCTAGGCACGCCATCGATAACAATAATAACCTAAACACGACTTGACAACCGGTACACTAATAACCTGACATTCCATTATAACATCACTAATAGCAATAGCCTAAAATCCAATCCCTACAATAATACCTTTAACAACTATGCTCTTATTAATATGAATATCCCTACTACCTCAACACTAGTAATTTGACACTTTATTATCTTTAACACTTACAACTTGACCCAAACCTATTTACACCTGATAACTTAATATCCATCGAAGTAGTACTCTACAATCGTAATGTGCCTAATCTACATCGTGTATCCATTTCAGGATCTAGTGAAAATGTAATGTAATTTTGAATATTATCCGTGACAGTACATTTCAGTAATTTATTTTGGTACAACACGGAGTTGCTGGTAAAAATATGCTAGCATTACTTTGAGGTTATCTTCTCCAGACCGTAGGAAGAAAATCAAGCGTAGCTCCTTAAGTTCTCGACCTTCTCTCGTAAATTCCTTAAGCCGCCATTTAGTTTCTAGGGAATTTAACAGCGCTACATGCGTATATCTGCTTGGCATGCGGATTCAATTCTAAAAGGGAAATAATGTAACGCACACACCGTTCTTTATTACTTATCTTTTCAACCGTGCCAACTGGATACGGTTTCGGCCGGGCTGTGTAACTCGCTATCGCTTTCTGTGTATAGTCACTTTTAAAGGCCATTAGCAAATTCCGACGATACCTTTACGACTCTCATAAATATAAAAGGGTTTCGATCAATTCAATTGCTAGGCCGAGCAAGCGGGCACGAAAATTTGTTCGTTCGTTTCGACGTATTCCTCTCCGAGCGAATTTTCGTCCAACCAGCGGGCGCTAAAATATTTTTAAAAATGTTATATTAGATCGGAACTTCGTTGCATATAGGTTTATACCCTTTCTTGTTCGAACCCCCAGTTTTATAGCCAATATTTTCGCAAATTAAGTAGCCCGTGCTTCCCGTCAAAACATGAAAAGCAACTCAACGAAGTTTCCCATCCGAATAGCACAAAAAAAAAAAATTTAGAAATTAAAGGGAATTCAGAAACGCACAGACTCGGAATTTTATTGCGCGTAAAAGAAAATGTAAAAATAGCAACGTGATTAAGATTCACATGCACTTTGTTACCGCGAAACCTCAACCAACGAACTTACCTTGTTAGTAATCTTTCGACTATGCTCCGTGCCCAGAGCGGTAGATTGAACTTTCCATATTCAAACTTCAGTTCGAGGACCGCGCGATGCAAAACCTTGAAAAGCTCGAACGAATCCTTTAACAGCATCTCGTAAACCGCTCCTCCGTCATAAAACGGAATTGAATCCATCTACATTTTTTCTCGAAACGTGTATAACTTCCCAAACAAAAGCCACGCGGACGTCTATCGTTCAATTAAACGAGCAAAGCCACAGGAAGTAGCGGAATAGAGGCGTACGGAGTTGAATCGGCTATCGATTTCTCCGATCGAAATAAATATTAATCAAGCACGGAGCCAGGAGATCGGAAAGAAGGAATCCCCCGGTCCCTTCCGTGGGGATCGTTTCCTGTAACGCGGCAATCTCAACGGACATAGTACTTTGGTTTACGTCCGAGCTGCTTTTACTGCTCCTAAAATAAGGATCCTCAGGATCCTGGCGAAAGCATATATGCATTCGTGGTAATCGTGGCATCGAGAGCACGCTTGTGGCTTGGGTTTACGCGCCTTTGGCTTTGTTCGTATCGCGGCACCGGCAGTTTCTTCGAGCAATTCTGATAGAATGGATCGAATAGCTGCTTGTTACTGTACGAACCGGTATCCTCGTCCATTTATATCGCGGCGTTTTATCGACAGAGGTTACAGAATTCCAAACGATACCGACAAACGTTTCTTCTTCCCTCATCTTCCTTTGGTCTATCCACTTTCCGCTATTCCTCCAGTCCACCAACCGCGCCGGGAACCCGTTTCGCTATAGTTGCGCGTCACAGAAACAACCACGGATGCGCATATTTGGATCAAACCGTGGCATACCTAGACTCGACTCGCTCCCAAACCAAAGCAAATCTAAATACGAACGATCGTGTCGAGTCTAAAGTCGATCTAGGCTTGGTCAAACCGCGTCAAACCATGTCAAACTTTAACCTAGTCAAGTCGAAGCTTAATTAGATCAACGAAATCAATCTAAGAGAAACGAAGCGAAACAAAGTCAAACTTGAACGTTCAGTAACACCCAGCTAAAATTCCCGAATCTTCTCTCGAGACGGGAGGAAAATATTGAAACTTGGGGTCTCGCCGTTTGGTTCGCCGTGCAATATCTATGCAAAGTGGATTCCCAAAATGGCGCTACAAATTTTTGAACGTTTTCTTTTCAGGAGCGAAAGGTCATTGGTGAACGACACCATTTCCCTGCAACTGGCGACCTGGGCACCCCGCGGCAACGCACTGGTCTACGTGTACCAGAACAACATTTATTACAGACCAGAAGTGGAAAAGCCCGTCGACTTTCAAATCACGAACACCGGTGTGTTCGGGACCATTTATAATGGAGTGCCAGACTGGGTGTACGAAGGTAAGCTTCTTTCCTGGAAATCGTCGCTGAATCCATTTTATTATTCATGAGCCACTCTATGAGCGTCTAATCGTCTTAGCTGACAGTTTGTGTAACGTGTTTAGCGAGACGTGTCAATTATGTTAAAGGGTTCGCGAACGAGTTACGGTTAATTCGGTTTTCGCGACGAGACACAATCGTCCGCGCTAGACACGGAAGAAAGCAATCGATGTTTCAAAATATACTGTGAAACTTTCGGGGCGTCTATTACCTATTTAGGCGACAAAGCACGTCTTGCTGAACAGGGATTGAACTTAACTTGAAACTAACGCTACTATCACTCCTAAATTATCGATAAGTACGTTCCTCGAAGTGATTACAGTGGAGATGGGAAACCTGTGGCTTAATGACCGCGCGTGGTCTCCCGATATAATCGCCACGGTCTTCTTGCATATTTCGTTACGATCCACCTAACTAGACCGCCTATTTGTCTTTTATAAGAACTTTGTAGGCGTGAATTTATTTGTAATACCGTCAATCGACCATTAATATATTATAAGGAATCGGCGAAGTAAATCCGACTCTGAAAGATTCCTTCCGCCCCAAGTTAGGGGGATCAAGCCAGTTAAGCGACTTCTTCCTTCGGTAACAAGATATCGAAACAGTTTAAAAGATCGTTACCGTACGTCAGAAAGTTGGATCACGATGTTTGGGTCCGCGAACACGATCCCTAATTCTTCGTAGCCGTCGCGACGTCCTCGCTAGATTTGTGTCTGACGTCGGGAAAGGATACAGTTCCGCGAATACCGCCGAGCGCATTAAACTGCGCGGTTTCAGTAATAACAGCGGTCCCGCTGTCTACCAGTTCTTCTGGAATAAACAAGCATCACACGGTTGAATTCACGTAGTTCGAAGCGGAAGCGGCGTTATCGCGACGAGCTAGTTGTGCACGCTCGCCATGAAGCGCATACTTCAAAATAAACTGGACCGCCTGTAACAACGGGTCGGCGAAAGGGGGGTGGAAAGGGGGAGGGGGGTTTGTTCGAACGAGTCGAATGAAAGGGCGTGGGCGCGGTTTCCGAACCGCGAGCTAGCAGTTTCGCGCGCAACGAGCGTTCAATTTGCCGCGTAATTATTTTTAACGGGGCCACGGCTCCTCGAAATTTTTAATTGGCCGTTCTGCCGTGTCGGTTTTTTCCCTCCCCTGGTTTCGAACCCGCGTCAAACGCGATTACAGGTATTACGGTAAACATATTTCGCGTTTCCTTTTTTTTTTTTTCTCCTACATCGACGAGATCAAAGTAGCAGATCCGGATCCCCGCCCGCGCAGTATTATAACTACGGACGGCTGGTTTTTGATCAGCGTCGTCTAAAGTGGCGGTATCCTATCCGGTCGTTCCTCGATGCGGCTCCAAATTGCTAGGATTAATTGCCGGTGACGGCAATTCGTTTTGTCGGGCAGTCAGTTTTCAGTTAGGAAGCTATTAGCGTTGCATCACAGATCTGTCGGCGGACAACTCCTGTGGTAATTAGGTTTCAGCGTTGTACTGTTCATTCAGGCATCGGTTAACACCTGCTAACGCTATTAGGGGTGGGGGAGCATCAGGGAGATCAGGATTGAATCAGCTGCAGTCAATAGTATTAGTCAATCAGTGCGATGCGTTCGAGCCTCGACAGGCAATGTTTAACCAGTAACGTGTGACCTACGAACGTCGAGTGGTAGTTGGGGTCCAGTGACTCTACGATTCATTCTGATATCCTTTAACAGCAGAGAGGCAAAAGCAATGGTCAGGATTCTAGTCAACGATCGATTCAGTGGTCAGTCAACACGATGTATCTAGGCTACCCTTCATCATAAGCATATCAGCCAAGATCTCTTGTGGCAATTAGACGTCTGCAGGAAGGATCAGATCAGAATGATATAGCAAGCTATCAAAATGGTCCAGACGTCCTGTGGACGCTAATAATCCCTACCCTGATGCTCGATTCGATATAAGAGCCTCGGCTATGAAGGATTCTTAACTAGATGTTCACCTCTGGAGACTTGATTCATCGTCATCGTATCTGTAATTGCCGCAAACTGACTCAGATACATGTCAGCTTTCGTGATAATTAAGTTTCAGGAAGCTGCAGATCAATCAAGCATCAGTTAACAGTCGTCGAAGCAATCAGAGGGCCCAAAGAGAAGAGAATCTCAACAGTTCATATCGGATCAAAGATAGCTAGTAAACTACTAACAAAGTTTCTGGAACTCCTGCAGCCTTTACTAGATCGATCTAGCCGGCTTGACTTTTAGACATCTTCCCTAACTCTGCGGTAGACGTTTAAACTGAGCATCCGTGGTTTCTTGTTGCGTACGTCCTGCTCGAGTGTAAAGATTCTCAAGTGAATCGTTTATCATCGTCGTATCGGAACGAGTGAATCGCTGTAATCAATCGCGTATTAGGCGAATGGTGTAATACATTTAAGCCTGATCCAGCAACGTTTACTCAAACATATATCAATCGCTTCGTCTAGCAGCAATTAGGCTTCAGATCGATCAGACATCGGTTGGCAGTCGTAGACGCGATCGGGAAGGGATGGAAAGGGATCAGGGCGCAATCAGTCGTGCTTCCCAATCAATCGACGAGTAAATGTTCCCGAAGTGGCTCGATAAACCGTTTGGATCCGGCATTTTTTCGGCCGGTCCACGGAGAATCTCTTAAAGTGGTATCTCATCCAAGCCCGAACACTGTCGGGTCTCGCGAATCTACTCGTCCTCTGTGCGGCAACGCCACTCGACGCATCGACCCCAGAAGCAATTAACAGGCCACGGGCTCCGAGGGGGCAAAGAAATCCCCGGTCGAATCGCTGTTATCGCGAGCGGGGCTAACACGATCCCTCTGACGAGTCGAGAACGCGGCGCAATATTTTTTCGTCGGCCCTTTAGCGACACGTCGGCGCGCTTTGTACGTGTGCCGGATGAGTTTTCACCCCGGAACCGGGAACAATAATATGTGCCGCGGCCGTAATTCACACAGCTGATGCTCGGGGGGACGTTGCACGCGTTTGCATATTCCTGAGCCTTCATCAGCCGCGTCTCCCTTTCCCCGTGTCGTTCTTCGCCCCGTGTTTCGCTAAATCGCGCGGCCGCCCGGCGACGAGCTAACGCGGATGAAGCATAAAAATTCATCAGAGCAGCCAGCCGCGAAGAAAGGAACCAGAGGAGACTTTTTCACCCCTTTCTGGGGCTGGCCTGATTCGTCGCCGCGCGTTCAATGGAGTCTTCCCGGCTCTGTAAATATTTAAACACGCTACGGTATTAATGTTGCCTCGAATCCGGTTGCCGGTACTCCTTTCGGACGGCTTCCGCAACCCAACATCCTACCTGCGATTCAATCAGACGCTGGATGGACCCGGGCAAACCTCGTTTTGTATTAATTGCGCGCCGATTGTCGCCTATTCAGACGAACTGCGATCGATCTTAGACAAGGATTGTTCGATTGTCGCCAAGATTGAATCCGGAGTGGGAGAAGTTGCTCGTTTGTTTGCTCGCCAACTAACCTAGCCCTTGCGTATCGTTGCCAGACTCGCGAATGTATCGCTTTAACGGAAGGTAGAAACACCTTGGAACCAGGACAGCCAACAAACTGGAAACCAAATAGACGTCCTGTGGACTTCGGGAGATGGATCTGCTGTGGTTAGTTTAGGTGTCATCCTACGTTCTTTGGTAGATTTTTAAATGGGACCTAGGTGTTCGATTGTCACAGTCTATAGTTGATCGATCCATCGGTGTAATGCATCCGGGTATCAGACCGTTTAATCAGAGGTATGGCAGTTACTAAGTCTCGAGGTAACCAAGTTTCAGTAATCCTCGGTTCATTCGTCAATTAACACAGTCGCTAACGCAATTAGCGAGGCGTCAGAGAAATCAGGACCCAATCGCATCCCTTCAGGATACTGACAGTTTGGAAACTACCGACAAAGTCTAGACATCCCGTTCGATGGAAACTTTCGGTAAATTAAACTTATAAAATTTGTTAAGCGACTCACGGCGATTTTGATGGAACTTTGCACAATTGGATCAACCCATAAACTATCAAACTAGAACCAAACAAATACGACAGTAGTCTCAAGTTGATTCAACGAACGATTCTACAAATCCACCTCCTCCGTTAGACTTCATCCTAGAAAAATAGATAGACGTTTGAACAGGGCATTTGAGACCCTATGCTACTTGTGTTTGTAGAAGTCGATAGTCAATTCATTAGTCACTCAGTGCGATGTGTTCAGCCATCAGCGAGCAACGTTTAATCAGGGATATGTCAGCTGCTAACTCTTGCGATATTCAGGCTTCGGTAATCTACAATTTGTTCGTGCATCAATTAACACGGTAGCTAACGCAATCAATGAGGCATCAGAGAAATCAGGATGCAGTCAGTTCCCATCAGGACACGGAGGGTTGGCCAACTATCGACGAAGTCGAGACATCCCGTGGTGTTCGATAAACAGTCACGGTGAATACAACTTGGACGTCACCCTAGACAAATAGATGCACGCTTGAACAGAGCATCTGAGCATCCGTGTTCTTATTCAATTCGCCACGCCAACGTAGCGTACAAGCAATTTGACGGAGTTTGACGGGGTTTGATGGGAACTTATATTGTCTTTGACGTAACTTCATTATTGGATTGCCTAAAAATTCCTAAAGCAAGGCGTAGATCAGAGGAATGCGGGACGGAATCTCCCCATTCATCGTCATCCCGTCGTTGGAAGTGGCTTCATGATTGTCACCGTCAGACGCATTGTCCGGGTCGCGCGTTGCACGAGACATTTCCCCTCAAACAGCCGTTCTAGGACGTTTCCACGCGCCTCTGTGCTCGAATGATTTTTATACGGGGTGGATTGCGACGCGTTCCGACGGGGACGTCGATAAAGTGTCAAAGCGTCGACGAGAGGCGTGCCAGGAACTTTTCAACAGCCTGTATTTTGTTCCGCGTCAGCCGGAGGACTTTCTTGCTGACGACATACTTTATCCAGTT